ATATAATCAAACCACACAGCAGCCTGTAATTGTATTCTCATTAAAATGTACATAGTTAAGAAAATAATTCACAAGTTAACCTTTCTTGGGAAGATTTTCATGAATCCAGCCCCAGTTTTCACATACTGCTGTTGTTTCAGTTGAGATTTGAAGAGTACATGAGAGTAAACATCTAAACTTTTTGTTTTCACTTTTTTCCAAAGATGATATCCTTCCAATTTTTGCTTACCCACATAAAATCGGCAAGTCTGTCACTGGCGGCTACATCTACAGAGGCTGCCAGATGCCCAATCTTAATGGCCTGTATATCTTTGGGGATTTTATGAGCGGGTACGTATGTATTCTCTACTTTATGGACCTTACTTGATGAATTACGTACATTCAGTATAACAAATTATAAACAAGAATACACTGAAAATTTTGAAGATGTAAATAAAACGAAGATTTATTGTACGTTTTACAAGAAAACACCATTTCAGTCTTTGTACTTAAAATTTTCACATTGAATTCAATGCGTTACTTGCAGTCTTTGTAATGTCTTACATGTCTTACATGTTTACTGATTAAATCACGCTCCTCCCGTTCTATGCATCCTAGGCGACTGATGTCCCTAAAGGAGAACCCTGCGACTGGAAAATGGAGCTATAAGGAGATTTGCATGGGCGCTGACAAAACGTGCAGTTTCCCTAAACTAATAAACAGCTACTACAAGTACATCATATCATTTGGTGAAGATGAGGCAGGTAACATGAGAGCAGCTCTGTGTTTGACTGCTTCATGTGAATATCTTTATATCGTTCTTCAGTGTAACACACTCATCTCTGCCGTCTGTGTTTCAGGAGAGCTCTACTTCCTTGCGACTGGAGCGGCCAGCGCCATAGCCAGAGCAGGAGTCGTGTACAAGATAGTGGATCCTTCCAGGTATACATACAGATGTGCACTTTCATTCAGAAAGGGAACGTTAAATTGTTCAAAAGTGACAGTAAAAGCATTTATAATGATTTCTATTTCAAATAAATGCTGTTCTTTTGAACTTTCTATTTATCAGAGTATCCTGGAAAATAAAATGAATCAATTTCCACAAAAATATTGGGCAGCACGACTGTTTTCAACATTGATAATAATCAGAAATGTTTCTCGAGCAGCAGAGCAGCATATTATACTGATTTCTGAAGATCATGTGACACTGAAGACTGGAGTAATGATGCTGGAAATTCAGCTTTGATCACAGGAATAAATTACATTTGAACAGAAAATCACATAGAAAACAGCTGTTTTGAATTTGTAATAATATTTCACAATTCTACTGTTTTTACTCTATTTTTCTTGCTGACCGCAAACTTTTGAATCCTTGAGTGGTATACCAAAATACCTCTCACAATATCCCAGAATCAAGTGAGACTGCTTTTCCCAAGCAATATTAAAGGACTAGTTTGCAGAAAACAACAACCCTGTCATTTATTCACTCACATGAGCAATACTAATAGTAATGTTTACCCTATTATGCACTGTAGGGTGTAAAGGTTTGTGTTTGCACTTTTGATTACAACAGCTGTGAAATAAACAGTTGGACCTTTTTGTTTTCACTCTTTAGGAGGGCTCCTCCAGGAAAATGCAACTTCAAGCCCACTCCAGTCAACATAAAGGGCAAACTGATTCATTTCAGTCCTAAAGAAGGTAAGAGAGCCAGTAAACATTCCTTTATCCCATTGGAGGTGTGTGTCTTGAGTAGCGCTGTATGACTAATAAAAATACAACCACTGTGATATGGTTTAGTGCGATTATTCAGTTGTAAAGGCTGTGATTTAATTGAATAAATATGTGGTGCGTGTTCCAGAGCGATGCGTGGCACAGTGTTCATTTACACATGAGCATCTCATGATCCAGTGTTTTCAGCATCTCTATTCACAGTAACTTCTGCTTCACATGATCTCCATCTCTGCTTCTGATCTGCGTTTGAGTTGCTTTAACGTGCGTTTGGGAACACAACTTGCAAGACATCTTCACAAACTGATAACGAGAAGCCTTAAGTGCTCCCTGCAGTTTTTGACCAAAATTAACATTTCAATGTTTTAAAAATAAAATATTTAATGTTTGAAAATGAAGAAATGAAGACAGCCATAAATATTAGTATTGTAATTTTGCTGTTGTATATAAAATTAAATTATCATTATTATATGATTTTTCTTAAACACTTATTTTTTTATTTTTCAGTGATATATTACAATAGTAATATTTCTTATTTAGTATTTTTTGTAGCAATAATAATATAAGTATTATTAATATATAAGATTATTATATATTACATGTGGTAGTAATACTAATAATAATTATTATTTTCATTATTGTTATTTATGTAACATTTTATTATTTTATAACCGTATTGATGTGGAATCACAAAATGTGGGCCAAATTGTGCAGCCCTACAAACAAGCAAACCTGTAATTGTTTTTTAATCGCATTTTGAATCACAATCACTATTTCAGTCAGAATTCCAATCGTCTTGAGGTACTCTGTTAAAGTGTTCGTAGTTTATTGACACTATCTTTTTGTTTCACAGAGTATGTAATTAACAAAAAACCCTCAACAACTGCCATTCCCAAACCAAAACCCACCAAACCCAGTGCGACCCCACGACCACAAGTACCACAAATGACCACCCGCCGGGTTCCTCCAGCGACCACCGTCCGAGGCTAAAACAATGTTTTATGTTTTCCTTCACCAATCAGTTTTTAGGTTTCAGGCTATTTTTAGCCAGACTTTGTACAAAGATGATTCTCAACTGTGTTATAAAAGATATAACAAGAATGATTTAATATCCTATTTTGCTTTATGCAATATGTGCATAAAATGTCCATAAATTGGGTTTCTCATTCTATACAATTTATCTAAACATTGCATCTAATTTGCATATGAATGTGTAATAATGGGAGTAATAACTTGGCAACATTTTCATAAGAATATCTCATATTTCATAGGAATATGGATCTATAATTTCCCCCGAAATGCCTGATTAAGATGCCGTTTGTGCATGACCGATGATTGTGACACTAGCTTTCCCATCACTGATACAATTTTATTAAACAAAACAAAAAAAATATTTCTTTTTAGAAAAATATATAGGCTACTTAACTATAAATAACATTATACCAAAAGTCAAACATCAATGAAATGACTGAGATAAAATGACAGCATGCACCATTTAACATTACAACAACAACACGATATAATAGGTTGTATGTGTTATAAACACATGTTTGCAAAATGAAGAAAATCTTCCAAGCCGTGTGCATAACCCGGACGTGATGTCATTGGCTCTTCCTCTCTAGATGTCTTGTTCATTTTAGTTTCGTTACCGGTGTTCCGGCGAATCCAGTCCCCCTGTCCCCCCTCACAGCGCCTGCGCAACTTCACCGTGTTGCCAAGTCCGCGGTTATCCAGCGCTAGTTTGTAGTAACAATTGGGTGTTTCTTTTTTAAATATCCTGGCAACCCTGAAACTTCAGCACTACAATCATGACTTCATGATTTCGCCCCGGGCTAAGCAAGTCAGCTTATGCTGGTTTTGCTGTCTTTCTGCAAGCAACGTTCATTTCAGCATGTTAATTAGATCATTTGTAATTAAATAGGTATTTATGCACGTGACGTCCTGTTCAATCGCAACATAGAGTCAGATTTCCTGCTAATTCTAACTTTTTCCTGTTTTATGAAGTGTAACACCATACATTACCATTAGACAGTTACAGTCCTTCGTTAGGGGCATTCTTTTGTTCAGACACACGAATCAAGCCTGCGGCGGCTCTGGAAGAAAACAACACAGGCGTGCTCTTCTGCAGCACAGCAAACACACAGACGTCCGCACTCAATGAAAGGACTTGATGTGGCGAGGCATGACGTACGTTCTTGTCCATCATCTCTTTGCCGTGGGAGGCCAGGCTGCTGCCGTAGGCCATGGCGAGGTTAGACATGGGGTGTGAGAGCAAAGCCTGTCCCGGATACACATCAGGGCCTTGTCCCACACCGCTGTGCTCGTGTCTGTTCCCTCCAGCGCTGGTGTCGTCAAATAACAGACTGGGGTCACCGGGGTCCATCGGGGTCCCTCGCATCCTGACCTCCGGCTCTAGAACACAAACAGCCACATCTACGTCAGCTATCATCCATATTACTGTAAATGTTGGCAAAAGCCCACAGCAGACAGTCACAACACTATGGAGGACGAAACCTGCAAAAACAATAAATAAATAAATACGCAAATAAATAAATAAATGTGTGCATAAATACACAAATTCTTGTTTAAATACATATAGAAATAATTAAACGTGTGAGTAAAGTATCCCACGGTCATCGTGAGACGACTGCTATGAAGTGGTTTAATCGAGGAACAGACGTTTTTTTCCCTTTAGTTATCAGAACAGAAAATACAGGCGACAAAAGTATGTTTAATAAGCAAATAACGGTTCAGTATTGCAATTAAGAGCTATGTAAGCATTAATATTTTACATTGGCCACTCTTTTATGATTTAGCTCTCTCGTGATTATAACTAACTCTATGAAAATGGTAATAATCAGTCCCCTTGACTGATGAAGTTAATACGCATGCGCAGGCAAGCGCTCACGCACGATCCGCCTACTCTTGCATAATTAACACCCTCTCATTAGCATGTTGCGCAGAGGAAAAATAAATGCAGAACTACATTCAGTGATCAAAGGAAAACATTTAGGATGAGTTTAGCATTTCCTTAAACATTTTCCATTTGCCCACCAATTTATTTTATTCATTTGCCTAACTTTCATCACATGTATAATTATTTATTTATGTATTTAAACAAGAATACGTGTATTTATGCACACATTTATTTATTTATTTGCGTATTTATTTATTTATTGTTTTTGCAGGTTTCGTCCTCCATAGTGTTGTGACTGTCTGCTGTGGGCTTTTGCCAACATTTACAGTAATATGGATGATAGCTGACGTAGATGTGGCTGTTTGTGTTCTAGAGCCGGAGGTCAGGATGCGAGGGACCCCGATGGACCCCGGTGACCCCAGTCTGTTATTTGACGACACCAGCGCTGGAGGGAACAGACACGAGCACAGCGGTGTGGGACAAGGCCCTGATGTGTATCCGGGACAGGCTTTGCTCTCACACCCCATGTCTAACCTCGCCATGGCCTACGGCAGCAGCCTGGCCTCCCACGGCAAAGAGATGATGGACAAGAACGTACGTCATGCCTCGCCACATCAAGTCCTTTCATTGAGTGCGGACGTCTGTGTGTTTGCTGTGCTGCAGAAGAGCACGCCTGTGTTGTTTTCTTCCAGAGCCGCCGCAGGCTTGATTCTGTATTTTTGATGAACTATGTTATTATCTTTGGAGTACTTGTTTCTCTTTTGGTTCCCAGCTGGATCGGTTCGTCCCCATCTCGAAGCTGAAGTACTATTTTGCAGTAGACACTGTATATGTGGGCAAGAAGCTTGGACTGCTGGTGTTTCCGTACATGCATGACGTAAGACCACATTTACAGACCTACACAGTTGCAATAGGTACCCTTGTGCAAGTCTTTATTATCACTTTTTATCAATTTAACACATCCTTGTTGGAAAAAATAAATACTGACCCCAAACTACTTGAACAGTCATAGTGTATATTATTACAAAAGATTTCTATTTTGAATAAATGCTGTTCTTTTTAACGTTTTATTCATCAAATAATCCTGAAAAAATATCACGGGTTCTAAAAACAATCTGAAGCGGCAAAACTGTTTTCAACATTGATAATAAATCAGCATATTATACTGATTTCTGAAGATCATGTGACACTGAAGACTGGAGGAATGATGCTGAAAATACAGCTGCGCATCACAGAAATACATTACAGTTTAACATATATTCACATAGAAAACAGCTCTTTTAAATTGTTATTATATTTCAAAATATTACTGATTTTACTGTATCTTTGATCAAATAAATGCAGCCTCGGTGAGCAGAAGAGTCTTCTGTAAAAACATAAAAAAAATCTTATCCTATTTTTATAAAACTGCCCGAAAACGTTTTTATTCAGAAGCATGTTTAAGTGGATGTTTCGCCTGAATTGTCTTATGTCAAATTAAAATGTTTTATATAGTAATGTAAAATTCTATGGATTATAATGCTGACCTTGTGTTTGCCATGTGAATAGCCTTGATGCTAACATGGCATTACAAAATTAATAAACAAGCAGAAATCACATACTTATGTTTTTCCCAAACCCTTCATTTGCTTTCTGCCATGGAACTCAAAAAGGAGATGTTTTGAAGACTGTGTTGCTCAGAAAATGCTGCGTATAGCACACAAGCCATATGGACTCTTTTTCATTGATTGATTTCTGAATGAATGTTTGTGTGATGTCCTGCTCTCTGTAGAACTGGGACGTGAGCTATCAGCAGGACACTCCAGTCGCCCCGCGGTTTGATGTCAACGCCCCCGATCTCTACATTCCCGGTATGACTCCAAACCATATGTTTCTAATGTTTTGCACAATTTAAACATGCTGTTGTTGCATATTCATGAGGGAGCGTACAGTCATGGAGATGTTTATTACATGCATGCGTATGTTTCGTTCTGACTCCGCAGTGATGGGTTTCATTACGTATATCCTGGTAGCAGGACTGGCTCTGGGCACACAGAACCGGTAAGAGCGCTGAACTCTTATCTACAGCTGATACTGTGAGAATGTACAGCCTGTGAGCCGGCATCGCACTGCTGTTAGTGCACGCATTCATCACACAACATTATTCTAGCTGGTAAAGATCTGCCCTTGAGCCCCTTTGGCTCAATGTTTTTAGATAATAAGTGTTTAGTTTCTCCATTTTACTTACACACTATGAATGCTCAAAGCATTTGCAAGAATTGATTATTAAAGCATAATGATTTCAAATGTACTTTAAAGTAAAACTTTAATTTTGACATTATTACAAAGTGCACTTTTTAAAAGACTACTTAAGTGTTAATAAACATAGACATGAAAGTGTCTCTCTTTAAGCCACTTAAGTACCCTTATATTTCATTATTATTATATTATCTACAAGTACTACTTTATATATATATATATATATATATATATATATATATATATATAATTTTAAGATGTAAAGTATAAGTGCACATTCAATACAATTAAGCACACTTCTTTTTCACAAGGATCAAATGATCTTTTTATCTTTCCTTCTTTGTTTTTTTAATTACCCAGTTATACACAGAAACTGCCATGTTAACATGAAGACATTTCCAAAATTATACTAAAACTCAATACTAAAAACATATATATGTATATGATTATTTTTTTAATTATTATTATTCAGTGGTATATTACAATAATATATTGTAAATGTGTTTTTATACAAGAGGGAGTTCTTAAAAATATATTGAAAATAAAAGAAAAGACTCTTATATCGGCAGAAGAGCTCAGATGATCTGAATAATCACTATATGATTGTTTACCAAGCCGCGAAGCTTCATTTGTCAGATGTATTGTCACGTCGAGGAACTGTGTTTTAATGATGCAGACGTTTCAGAGGAAAAGGAGAAAATGCGGAGACTTCCTGCAATTGTCCTGACTGCTCTTGACCTTACTGTTCTCTGTTTTTGACATTTTTCTGCCTGGTTTTCTCTTCTCTGTTCTTGTTTCCAGGTTTTCTCCAGAGATCTTGGGCATTCAGGCCAGCTCGGCGTTGGTGTGGCTCATCATTGAGGTTTTGGCTGTTCTTCTCAGTCTGTATCTGGTAACGGTTCACACTGACCTCACCACCATCGACCTGGTGGCCTTTTCTGGATACAAATACGTTGGGTAAGGCCATTAGTTTTCGGTTTTTAGCCTATTCTTGCTAGGCCTGTCACGATAACAACTTTTGGTTGTGCGATATATTGCCCCAGAAATAATTGCGATAAGCGCTATTATTGTCATTTTAAAGACCATTTTATGCCACTGAATATATACTCATAATGTAACAGCATAATAAATGCAAGAAGGCCCACACACTTCCAAATGACAACAAACTTTTAATTTTTAAGAATATTTAGATCATGGAAATTAAGTATCAAAATATTAGATACCTTAAAAAATTGGAATAAATAGTAAATAAACATTTTCTAACAAAAAGTGCAAAGTACAAAAAAAAGAAAAATGCACTTTTATGGAGAGTTTTCCATCTACAGATTTTCCCCAGACCTTCTTTCCTCTGTAAATGAAAGCTGCACACTATTGCTGAGAAACACAAGCACTACTCAGCAGTCAGATGTGTGCATGCACAGAGACACAGATCCCTAAACAAGACCATATCTGCAGATGAAGCTTTGTTTGTAGAAGCATGTTTTTAATTTGAACGAGCACCTCATGACTACACCACGTTATGCACGAGAAGCTGCAGAAGACACAGACGCAAGTGGAATGTAAAAAACACGGTGACATTAATGTTTAAGTAAATATAATGGGCGATATATTGCGTCACCAAAAATGATTGAGGTCACGTACATATATTGCGCGACAAGTCGATATATTGATTATTGCGACAGGCCTAATTCTTGCAACAATATCATAATTTTTAAATGTTCAAACTGATTCTGCCAGTGTTTGGACTCTAGGTGGTGCTATTGAGTAATCTTTAGAATTTCATTTGATTAATTTTAACTAAAAGTGAAAAGGATTAATTTAACCAAAAACCAAAAATGTATGGTTATTCTATCCGTTCAAATATTAATATAGGATCTGTTGTTGTTGAGTTTCATTCATAATCCATTTCCAATGTTAAATCAGTGTATAATTTCATACCAGTACTGCCCTCATACCTTCTCTAAGCAGTATTACTGCAAGCCTAGTTTACTCTAAACTGTATCAAGTGCCAGCTGTGTGGTTTTAAAGGTATTCAAACCAAGTCCAAGTCCCTGCCTGAAAAAAAGCTTACAGACGCTGAATGTGTGATGAATGAATTTCATACAGTGTACATTTTCTTCGAAATAAATACTACTGTGTGAATTCTTGCTGTGCTTGTTTGCTCAGGATGTTTGTGGAAGTGTTAGCAGGACTTCTGTTCGGCCGGATGGGATATTACCTCTCACTGCTCTGGTGCTGCGTCTCTACTTTTGTTTTTACGGTGCGTATTGAGAGATACAGAGCTGTCATTTCAAAGCAAATATGTTCTTCATTTTGCTGTTCATACCGCCAGGTGGACGTGTTTCTGTTATTCCCAACAATCTTTATATTAGCAAGTGTTGTTTTATTCAAACTCTGTAATTTGACTGTGCATTACACACTGCGAATGCTCAAAGAATTCACTCTCTATGTATCGCTCCAGTTACACGCAGGAACTGCCATGTGAAAGTAAAGCAATTTCCAAAGTAACAATAATAGTAATATTAGTAATATTTTAAATAAAAAATTCATCAAGCATGCATTTAGTTGGTCAAAAGTGACAGTAAATACATCTATAATGTTACAAATGAACTTGTGAGCTTTCTATTCATCAAATAAATAAATAAAATGAATCACGGTTTCCACAAAAATATGAAGCAATATTTCTGATAATAATCAGAAATGTTTCTCGAGCAGCAAATCGGTATATTAGAATGATTTCTGAAAGATCATGTGACACTGAAGAGTGGAGTAATGATGCTGGAAATTCAGCTTTGATCATAGAAATAAATTACAGTTTAACAATATATTCACATAGAAAACAGCTATTTTGCATTGTTATAATATTGCACAATATTACTTTTTCTGTATTTTTGATCAAATGACTGCAGCCCCATATGTATTGAATATTAAGTTAGCATTACAGCATATGTTTGAGTGTCTAAATTGTACTGCATAATTCAGTTTGAATCTCATTTAGGATCTGATCTCAAGATGTGAAGCAGCTTCTTTCCGTTTCAGATTCGTACAGTGCGGTTAAAGATTCTGTCTGAAGCAGCTGCAGAGGGACGGTTAGTGCGAGGAGCCAAAAACCAGCTGCGAATGTACCTGACGATGGCCATCGCTACAGCGCAGCCCGTGTTCATGTACTGGCTGACCTTTCATCTGGTCAGATAAGAGCCACAGGTGTCGTTTCTACCGCAGCAGTCGCAAACGACTAGAGACTCGAGCCTATTTGCACACACGTAATAAACCAATGGACACACATTGTGCAGCCTCACAGCACAGCGTGAATTACCTGAACTGTAATTGCCCAGCGGTCTTTTCTATGTCTTTGGTTTGTGCTTTTTTTTTTTTTTTTCCTTCTCTTTTTTTCATGCACTGGTTAATTTTGCTTCCATAACTTTTCTTCTTTCAGACTATGGGATAAGAAATACAATGTAAGTGTTTTATTTTATTTTATTGCATTTGCATCTGTAATTTTACTTACAATATCTGCTTGCTCAAATATACAACTTCACAGGTTTATTCCTATATTGTGAAAATTTTTACTGAGGGGTTTGTTCATATATCATTCACACTGAACATTTTATTCCTTAAAAACATGGTGAAAATTTACTTTTTTCTGTCTGTTTTTCAGTATTTTCTGATTTATGGAATGATAAAAAGAGGAATCCAAAATCCCTTCTGTAAAAACCATCAATACGTCAATAAAAACACAGTTTTGTGTTTTATTAGGCAATACCTCATTTGCATATTTAAACATACCATTTCAGAAAACTTGTAATCCAAAACATTTGTCTGTGTAATCATGTCTTTCAGTTAAAAATGGCAAAACTTTTAACTGAGTGTCTTGCCTTGAATCCTAAAAGATTGTTATAGTTGAATTTCTGTCGATGGACAGAAGTGCACAAGAAAGGATATGACAAAGTATAAACTAGTATTTAATCTCAGTTTCAAATCTACTCCCTGCAGGTTTGTAGGTTTTCTTGGTTTCATCAAACCGTACAGTGTACATGACTGTTGTGCAGTTGCACTGAATTGCCATATTTTCTTTCAAGTACCTTGTTGACACACTAACAGATGCTTTACAAATAGTCATGAAACAATGCAGAAAAAAGGGGTATGTTAAAGAAACATATTGCACATGCAAAATCAAATCAAGCTTAAACAATTAACCTTTATACGTTAATATAAAGTACCTTCATCCTGAGTTATTGTTTTTTTTTCTTAGCCGTCATGTCCATTATGTCTTTGTTCCCAAAGGGCAATTGATGTTGAAAAGACAGGTCAAGTAGGCAAATCAAACTGACATCAAAAACTTGGCATGATTTGATGTAAATTGAACACCAAATATATTGGCCTACATATATAGTAAACCAATTTCAGTGTGTGATTAACTTCCTATTTTCACCCAATTACCACTGGAAGAAATTGTCGTCCAAACTGAATTTAAAATGATGTTACAGCATCTTGACTAATATATGACGTCAAACTGATATCTATGTGCCCGCTGGGTTATCATGTTACTTTAATATATTATCATCAGTGTTGTTGGTAACGCATTACAAGTAGCACAAGTTACATAATCGGATTACTTTTTTTAAATAAAGCAATGCATTACTTTTAAATTTACAACAAAATATCTGAGATTCTTTATCAAAGATGTTACACAAGTTACTTTGTTTTCCAATTCATTCACTGACAGCTCTCCTGTCCCAATGTTGAGAAATTGGGAGTAAGTGCAGAGGAGCTTTCTTCAGGCTGAGGCATAGTAATTTTATTTTTGGTATGAAATGGATTTTACAGTTTGCAAAAATATAACTTAGAAAAATATCCATATTCAAAACATAATCACTTTAATGTAGATTGCGCCAACAGTCCTACACGGAAGCAGCTCTGTGCGGATGACGTATGAGGTCGGCTTTGCGCATGCGCCGCTCAGAAGTGACGAACACGGAAGTGCATGGGAGAGATCAAAACAAAACACCAGTCACTAATTAGAAGTACAAAACGAAGATTTATAAAGAATGACGGAGGACTTCGATATAAGCCAAGAGGAGACTGGTTTTCCTTTGCTAAAATAAGGAATCTTTGCTTCCTTTGATCCTGTAAACATATGTTGGTTTTCACGAGACTCTTCGGCACATGCGCAATGCTGAACTCATACGTCATCTGCCCTGAGCTGCTGCCGTGTAGGACTGTTGGTGCAAACTACATTAAAGTGATTACGTTTTGAATATGGATATTTTTCTTACAAAAATGCATCGATTCGCTACAGGAGGCCTTTGTTCACCCCCCGGAGCCGTGGGAGACACTTTTTTTAATGGATGGGTGCTTTTTATTTAACTTATTTTGGACTGATGCATGCAACACCTGCTGAGTGGCATTAAACAGCTTGAAAGATCAAAGACAATTTAATATAACTCCGACTGAATTCATCTGAAAGAAGAAAGGGTAACACTTTACTTGAAGGGGTGTGCATAAGACTGACATGACACCTTCATAATCATAAAGACATAAGACACAAAGACATATACACCTAGGATGACTTGAGGGTGAGTAATTTGTGGGCTAATTTTCTTTTTTTGGGTGAACTAACCCTTTAATAAATCCATGTGAGAGAAACAGGACAGACAAACTGAGGAAAGGCAGGGCTATTTATACAAAACCAAACGATGGACCAATAAGATAATTAACGAACACAGGTGGAAACTAATTAACTAATCAGGCAACAAAAGGAAAACTAGGACAAGGCAGGAAGAACAGAAACACAGAACATACGTGACATTACTCCCCCCCTCCTGGAAGGGGCGTCCCACACCGTGACAGTTACTCCGGGGAGGGGGACAGGCGCCGTGGAGGCTGGTGCAGCGCAGGAACTAGGTGAAGACAAGGAGGGCCTCCAGGGCAGAGATGGTAGCTCAGGGGGCCATGGTGGAGCAGGCAGTTCAGGTTGCCATGGCGGAGCTGGCAGCTCAGGGGACCATGGCGGATCAGAGGACTCAGGAGGCCATGGCGGATCCTCTGACCTTAGCCGACTCGGCCATGGGCATATGCCCCCCCCCCAAAAAAAAAAAAAGGAAAATTAGGAATTCTGGGTGGCGCGCTGGAGGAGCGGAATTCGCTAAAACATGGGGCTCAAGAGACGAAAGAAGGTAGGACTGGACCAGCGGACGCGAAGGAGAGCTTTCTGGAGTCAAGTCAAGTCACCTTTATTTATATAGCGCTTTTAACAATACAGATTGTGACAAAGCAACTGAACAGCATTAATTAGGAAAATAGTGTCAATAATGCAAAATGACAATAGTAAACACTCATTTTTCAGTTAAAGACAGTTCATCATTGAATTCAGTGATGTCAACATCCAGCTCAGTTTAAATAATATCTTTGCAATCATGTCAACGATAACGCTGGAAATTAAGTGTCCCCAACTAAGCAAGCCAGAGGCGACTGGACTCTGGACTCTGGAGAGAGGATAGGGGCCGAGAACTCTGGAGGGAGCGCCATATCCAAGAGCGCTGAATCAGCGGCGGCCGGCAGACTTCACGGCGAGCTGGTTCTGACACCGGAGGATCCCTTCCCTCCAGCTAAGTTCGATGGTGTCTGGTGGGTCAGAGTGGGATAGTAATTAGCCCCGATCCAGAACACAAAGGGGCTGCAGTCATTTGATACTCCACAAAGGGGAGATCTCTGCTAAGGCAGGGAAATAAGCGTCGTTTTCCATGATCGGAGGGGGTTAAAAACAGGGAAAAGAAAACTTTCAAAAACCGAAAACAAAAACGGGGAGAAGGGGCACCACTTACTTTCTTTTGTTTTTGTTTGGTCCTGTCTTCTGTCACAGGTTGCAAGGCGAAGGAACTCGAAGGAGTACGACGGAGGCAGGTAGTCAAACGGACAGAGTCTTTAACAAATCCATGTGGGAGAAACAGGGGAAAACAACCTCTTAACACGACGGAGACAAGACAAAAACAGCTTGAAAGATCAAAGACAATTTAATATAACTCCGACTGAATTCATCTGAAAGAAGAAAGGGTAACACTTTACTTGAAGGGGTGTGCATAAGACTGACATGACACCTTCATAATCATAAAGACATAAGACACAAAGACATATACACCTAGGATGACTTGAGGGTGAGTAATTTGTGGGCTAATTTTCTTTTTTTGGGTGAACTAACCCTTTAATAAATCCATGTGAGAGAAACAGGACAGAAGACGCCACTGGCTGTGATTGCAACGTGCGTCAGTGTCAAACACATGCTGTCAATTGGGCACGTGATGGTAGCGGTGCCGTATTCAAAGTTGAAGTGGTCAGAATGAATGGAGTACTCGGCATTCGACGTCACGTTCCTCCCATCGCAGCACATCACACAGCTGTACGTCGCCTGCTCATGTCGGAGAACAATGGCGATCGTGTTTATCTGTTTCTCTCTGAAACGATGATCCACATAAGAGCCGATCACATATGTGTTAAGATGGCCAACTTTAATCACAGGCCTGTCCTTCACTTGAACACCACACGCCTTTGGAGACGGAGGACTGGCGGATGTGTGTTGGATGTGTGGTGTTTGGACGAATGGCAAATGTGTGCTTGGGGGAAGATTTGGCAGATCAGAGTCTTTACTTGTATGGTTTTGCCAGATTTGTTTGGTAAAAGGTGCTTTAAAGAATTCTTCTAAATACATGAAGATGATAAAGAAAAGCACAAATAAAAAGCAAGAAAAATAAAAGATCTTCAGAGCACAAATCTTCTTCTTAAAAGGCCTTGATTCTGATCCACTTTCTAGTAGCTCATATTTCACATCACATTTCCCTAGAGAAAAGAAAGAATACAAATGTTATGGTTGTCTCTATTGAAGCTACTCTGTTAATTGCTGTTGGGACTATGTGAATATTTTTTGGTGCAGTAACTAAAACATTTTCGGAGAGTTGATTTTGTTCTGATTGCATGGGGCACATTAGCATACATTCTTTTTCTGCGTGGAACAACATCTATAAGATCATATGTTTGCGGCTGTCAAACGAGATGCTCAGAGATTTCAACATGCATTATGGACTCTGTATGTTTTATTAACTTCATTTGGTAACCTTATTTATAACTGTATTTGTATAATTTAACATAATTTAATTATTGTATGTTTGCATTCGTTAAAAGATTGGTGTTTGTATTTCCCTGTGTGTTTTTATTAGGGCAGTCGATTTAATTAATTAAAAAAGCTGGAAAAAAATCCATATTAATAAAAAACTAATTAAATGTATTGTTCACCCAAATATAAAAAATTAAGAAAGAAAAAAAAATTGTAAAGCTACTTTTTTTGATATTTATTTCTTGCTTTTTCTCATGTAACACAATGATGGCTTAAAATTATATTTTGTGGGTAATTTCTCAGCCAAATTTAATGTGCAATTAATATGCGATGAATTAGATTAATTAACCACCCCATTGTGCGATTAATCGACTGAAAGCCCTAGTTTTTATCAATTAATATGTATCTGTTTTGTACAAATTAGTTTAGGAGCCTCTTTTGCATAAATCATTATCTGTCTGGTGTCTATAAGTAGCGCATACCTGCACCTTTAGGAGTTGTTTTGCAAATTTGTATTTTAGTTATATTAGCATATTTGTATATTTACAATAATTGTACATGTACATAATTGGTAAGGGAACAGGACATTGTGTATGAGTACAAACCATGAGTTCAAGTCAAATACGGATTATATATTTCATTCACCTGATGACCAAACATACGTAAAGCTTCAAATGCCACTGGCTCAATTAACATTACTAGTATTAATAATATTATAGATCCTGTAAACATATATCAAAGGTAAGATTCAGGTTTCTCTGGCTCTCTGCACTTGTGTTTTTAGCAAAACCGAGAGTGTCTATGCCCACATTCACTAGACCAGAAATCCAACATGGCCGTTATATGCAACTAGCCAAGACAATCATGCCAACTTTAAGGAACTATGGCCATTCTAAGTCAGCTAGTCAGTGTAGTGACAAGTAATATTTTCCCTTATTGTGTTTGAATGCAAATATTGTATGTGCTATGTTAGCTATTTTAACTAAAGCAATCAAACCTTAACCTTGATGAGGGTGTGAATTCTATATGATTTAGCATTTTCCCATAGAAATGTAATATAAAGAAAATGCAGGTGCTGTATATTTATCTTTGACTCCCAAAGTGTTTGGAGTAGTGACAATGTCTCACGCCTGCCAACTCATCGCCCCCATACTTCCCTGTTCCCTTTCATGGGAACTTTGAACTGCGTCCTCTAGGGGTCGCTATGGGGGAATGCCTCGTCGTGACCTGTGTCTGAAGCATACATTGAAAAAACACCAACTCGTTGGCCGGCGACAGCCATGACGTCACTACCGGTGCGACTATAGTATAAATAGGCGCCGGGAGCACACATCATTCTCTTCTTCGTCTTCATTGACTGTATTGTTTGAAGCGTGCATTTCTGTGGTAAGAGCGATCTCTATTTATCTCATTATGGCGAGCACTAGCAAAGCATTTAAGGATATGTGCATCCGTGTTGACGTTGTTTAACATCTGATGACACACACGATCTATGCGTTGTTTGTTTGGGCAAAGAGCACGGACGCAATGTCTCCGAGGGGGCAATTGGCGTGCACTGCGAGCGTTTTTTTTTCCAAGGGAAAAATCTCCGCTCTCGTTTGTCTATCTTTTCGAGGAAAGAGGGGCAGCCATCTGCTTCCCGCGGGTGAAGAAAGTGACGTCGCGAAATATCTCGATGAACGTTATTTTTCTGGCCATAAACCCTCCAGCTCAGGTGAGCCTTCCTTTCTTCCTGTTTTTCATATAAAGATTGAGATGGAATGGAAGAGGCCGTTTTTTCCTCACGCATCCATCGATTCCAGCATACAAGTTATGCCAACATCGAGGCGATGCGCAAAAGCGGTCATGAGAAGATGCGCCTATAGAGAGACGCTGGTCAGGAGAGAGGAGAGACTCCCCTCCTTGACATCTCGCTCGGATGCCAGGGCATACGCAGCAGCAGCAGGTCGGGTTGTCGCTTCATTGCACACGGTGGTGATGCTCCAAGCATATCAGGCTGACCGGCTGAAAGACCGGGATAGAAGTCCAGGTCTGAGCCCGAACAACCCAGGGGTCCTAGCCCGTCTCAGTTTGAGGATCAGAGACTGGCTCAGAAGGCTAGTGTCGCGGCTCGTGCTCCTCCCCCGCCCGCGGGTAGGGGTAGGAAGAATCGCGGGTCAAAGGAAGGTGAGTAAAAGACCTAAGGGATGTGTTCCAGACAGGGCGTCAGTGCTTTTGCCCAGATCAGAGTGATACCTCAGTATCTACTCATTTCCTTCGGGGGTCTTACATCTGCCCTTATCTTCACCTTCCTAATTCCCCTGTAACCACCATCTCTCCACCTGACCGAGGTTAGGTGGGAAATTTCCTGCATTATAGTCTCCTATACTGGACCTATTAGGTTTGGTTGGTTCTATGGCTTCATAGTGACCATCTTACTGATGGTCCGGTCTAGAGGCTTCTTCGGACAGAGCTCCGACGC